CAGGGGTCCTCACTAGGATTTCTGAGGGAGCCAAATAGTTCATATCAAATTTTCCTTAGGGCCGCAAGTACAAATTGTATAGGTATAGGTTAAATAACTTACAAACAATATGACTATAACATAAGTTTATTACATTAGTTTATTACTTAAGTTTATTACATCAAAAAATAAACATTTTGCATATAAAAAAGTAGGGAAAAGTCTTTTACTTAATTTCATGATTTGGCCTACTTGAATTTGAACTTTAATTCTTTGAAGTCGAAGGGCGAAATCTTTCACAACTTTCTAATATGGCATCTATGTTGGCAGGTTGAGAAGAAACTGAAATTCTCAAAATGTTGTCAACGTTCTCACTTGTTAATCTGGATCTGTACTTGTTTTTTATGAACTTCAGCTTACTGAATGTAGATTCACAGACATACGTAGATGCAAAAACACACAAAATCTTCTGAGCACAGTCAATTAAGTTAGGAAATTTGTCCTTTTCAACTGCATTCCAGAACTCGTAATGAGCTTTATTCTTGTTTTTTTCTTCAAAAACACTTTTGAGCTCTGTATCATGCTGAAGATCAATTAACTCATTTTTCAAATCCCTAGCTTCGTATCCAAAAACAGAAAGATGAGCTATATTTGCTGTTGTAATTGACCATGGGTTTTCCACCAAGCGAAATGGTTCTTGATACTTCCTGAAGCCACTAAACCTCAAAGACAATTCGTTCTTTAGATCTGTCAACAGCTTTATTAAATCAGAAACATCTTGACTTTCATCTGGATTTTCATCAAATAAAGTTTTAACAGAAGGAAAGCTAGAATAATCACTGTTTAACAATTCTTCGATATACATTTTGAGTTTTTGTTCCTGTGAAAACACAATACTAATCATTTTTGTTACAATGTTATTGTAGTGTCCTTGCAATCGAGTCAGTGTTTCATTCATAAAGCCCATTGTATCAGTGAGAAACGCTACTTTGAGCCACCAACTAAAATCATAAACATCAGGATACTCTTTTTCCTTCGTAGCTAAAAACAGAGTAATCTCATGACGAATACTGAAGAAACGTTC